CCCCCCCCAATTTTTGCACATGTCGAGGAGCGTGTCAGGCTACATTTCACTGTGTGTTATACTTGTATAACTATGTATGTGACAAATAAAGAACCTTGAACCTTGAACCGTATACCGTTTATACTGCCCACCCCTACCTTGAGGCACTATATGAGTAAAATCGAATTGAATCAGTGTGTTTTAAACACCAACAGGGGTTTGTCAGTTTATATGAAGGCATAAAACTAGTCCCAGTCCCTCTGATACAGTATGATTGCTGTGCATTGTTGTTTCTGTTTCTCAGTTTCTTTTATAAATATCACTATTTCCACTCTTCTCTTTCTCTACAGATATCAACATCTGGTTGGTCACATTTGGCTTTCATCTCCATAATGCCATCCCAGGATTCCCTATTCCGAAATTTGACCTGATACAGCCATCACTGGAGATGAAAAAGAGCCAGCTGTGGGATGACCTGCCCGTATGTATACTCAGATAAACTATGGAGGAACACCACACCCGATCCGTCACAGCGGGCGTTTTCTCTGGTTGCAGCCCAGTGACAGTGAAACAAGTGTCAAACAAACAGTGGTTACATTTGTGCAAAATTCATTTTTGCTTGTAATACAAACCATGAAGTAGTTTTATTGCCTTGATCTTACCAAACAGTGTTAGAAAAAAATTAATTAAATTGAATAAATCGAATGGGCGTCATCAGTCGTACATATCACCAGTAGGTCCTCATGTTTTCTCAAAAGTCTCCAGTGATGTAACCTGGCCTGGACGTACTTCTTAAACATGTCTGAATCATCTTTCTTTGACTTTTCAGCACAAGAAAGAAACTCTAACAAGCATAATCCAGCTCCTCAGGGCTTGATGTGGAGCTCGTATTGTAGCTAAGTGGCCCGCACTGACAGCGGGTTTAGAATGGTGCCATCAGGGAGCAGCGAGTCGGTGGCTAATCCAGTCAGTCCAGTCACTGAATGATATTTGTAACTGGAATAAATGATGTAATTGCATCAACCACATCTGGGGTGGTTTGTTCGGTACTCTTGTCACTTTTGCTGATGGCCACATACGAGACTTTCTACACCTTAATAGTTACTCATTTATATATAGTCATGCAAACGTAACGTTGACAAGGAACAGAAAATAACAGAACGAGAAGAAACGAGGAATAAATTAATAGGAAGTTATTAGTGAGATCCTCCCATTTAAAGGAAAGGAAATCGGTAAAGGAGGATGTCTGTGCACGTGTTGTCGGGTCACCAGTAATCACACTCGCACTGAGAGTGAGAAAAAGGCGCTGACGTAGAGACACTGACGTAGAGACACTGACGTAGAGACACTGACGTAGAGACACTGACGTTAACTCAGCGATTAATGAAGGCAACGACAGAAATAGAAGTGGCTGTTTCAAGAGAGAAACTGAAAGAGGAAAAAAGATAAAGAAGCAGGAGAGACTTCGTGCTGTCCTCCTCCCTGAGCCTGCTTCAGCCGGAGCTTTCTTCCTGTTAAAAGGGAGTTTTTCCTTCCCACCATCACCAAGTGTTTGCTCTCTATTATTGGGCTTTTCCCTGTATGACCCGAAACACGACTTCTCTCTATTATTGTCGGGTTTTTACTTGATCATATAAAGCGTTGTTGTGATTTCACGCTACATAAATCAAATTGAACAGAATTTGTATGACTTGGAGCAGCAATGATCGATTGAGTCCACACACCTAGATGCAGCAGACAATGATTGTGAGTCAAATTTTCAGACACCTTTTCTGCTTTTTCTCCACAGTCTATCTCAGGCGTCCAGCAGGAAGTGACCCGTCAGTCTCAGGCCTTTCTGTCGTTTGAGCGCATGCCAGAAATTCAGCTCAGTCGGCGACATTCAGACCACAACAAGCCTTGGCTGTGGTTTGCCACTGTCAAGTCTCTGATAGGAAAGGGAGTGATGCTCGCCGTGATCCAAGGTCGCGTTGTGACCAGTGCTCTAAACATCGCCAACGAGGACTGCATCAAGGTGGCTGCTGTCCTAAATAATGCCTTTTACCTTGAGGGCTTGCATTTCACAGTGGAGGGAAGAGACACGCACTACTTCATCAAGACCAGCCTGCCTGAGAATGACCTCAGCGCACTGCGGCTCACCTCGGGGAGGAAGTCACTAGAAAATGGAGTAAACGTCACAGTATCCCAGTCCACAACAGTCATGAACGGGAGAACGCGGCGTTTTGCTGATGTGGAGCTCCAGTACGGCGCCCTGACACTTCACGTGCGTTACGGGACGACGCTGGATGAGGAGAAAGCGCGAATCCTGGAACAAGCAAGGCAGAGGGCGCTGTCGAGTGCCTGGGCGCGCGAACAACAGCGAGTGAGAGACGGGGAAGAAGGAGTACGGCTATGGACGGAGGGAGAAAAGAGGCAGCTACTAAGCAGCGGGAAGGTTTTGGGTTATGATGGATACTACGTACTGTCTATAGAGCAGTACCCCGAGCTAGCCGACAGCGCTAACAACATCCAGTTCCTACGGCAGAGTGAGATAGGGAGGAGGTAACACGGCATTAACAGAATCCAATGATCCCGCCCACTGACTGTCAGAGACTAACAAAAGCTTTTCAAACATGGATGTCACAGACTGAAACCAAGCCACTGAAGAGATCCCGCGATCCCTTTTTTTGGGATCAAAATGTTAAAATGGGATTTCTAGACTGATGATGTAACAATCACTTCAGTGCAGCTGACCTGAAACACGGCTGCAGTTTGATGGTCTGCAAACCCGGATAAAGGTTCCTTTTTTCAGTTGTGTTCTTTTTCTCTATCTCGCTTTCTCTTTTTTTCACCCGGTCGTCTGCCTTCGAACAGCTTGCACGCATGACCCCCCATCCCCGCCGCCTTTCGTGAAAGGTGGGGGCTATAACCCGACTGCTATATTTGTGTGCTAGCTAGCTATCAAACAGTGGGATGTAGAGACTCGTTCAAGCGGCCGACTGAGGACTTTACAGTTACATGAGCTTGCAAGCGTTTCAACAGCTGGTAACTGTCAGTGTAATCGCCATCTGTGCATCCCTAAGAGATGTTGCAGGTGTCGTATCTCTGTTTGGAGCCACGTCTGTAGGCTCTGTCGTGTCCATGGCTGAAGCAACTGAGTGGAACCACCGTCGTGGACTCTCTAAGAAGGACAGGCACAAAAATTCAACTTTGTATGAAAGCTGAAAAAAATAAACTGATTTTCTCTTTGAGTTTTTTTCTTTATATAAACTTGCTGTTGCTTCAGACAAAAAGGGTATATGAAAATTAACAAAAACATTTTTACATAGTATTACTTATACCACTATTACTACTTTTACTGCACCATCACCACTGGAATGGACCATTATATGACCTGAACAAAGACAAACTTTGATTTGTGTTTTTACTTAAAAGCCACTTCTTCCCATTCTGTGCTCTAACAAGTTCTACAAATTTAGAGAGACCACAGTCAAACTGACGTATGTGAAGAACCAGGGCGACTGTAGGGCCACCGTTGTGTTTGCGTGGATGTACATTGGTCCTATAAACCCCTGGTACCCTGGCTGCCCAGGTGTTATTCACTTTTACAAAATGTGACTCGGCCTCATAACAAATAGACTTGTGCTTTTCTCAGTCACAGGTAGTAGTATTGCTTGCAATAGAAACATGTTATCATGGCTTTGGGTGGGAGGGGTGGGGGACAGGATTGCTGTGAGTAGTAACAAATCGTTGCTTCTCCCTTTATTTTTGCTTGTTTATCTTTAAAGGGACAGTGCATTGCCATCAGTGACATTAACGAGTAACAGTAATAGATCAAAGATCAATGTGGATGTTTACTCATTGATTGTGGGTCTCTGTACTCCTTTAGAGTTTCCATTGTGCGTATGTGTGTTTATAAGGTTGAAAAGTAACTTTAGTCATTTGGAAGGAAAGAGCAGGAACTTTCCACAGAGAGTTAACCTCATATGCTACCGATCTTTTTTTCAACGACAGTTATGACAAGTTGACAATGTTTTATGGTTTATCTTTTTCTTTATTTCGGAGGTTGGTGAATTCCACTTATACGTACATCAATATTAGTCTCAGAGAAAGTAATTTATGTACAGTGTTTCTACAGTAAAGAATAAAATACATTGAAACTAACGTCTTCGTTGCTGTGTTTGTTCTTCACTTTCACTGCTAGCAGCGATAAGAAAAAACTGATTTACTCAAGTGCTTTTTCACGCATTACATGCTTTTTATTAGCAACATCTGAAAACATTGTAACATGACTTAATAATGAAGCCTGAGATGGGGTAGGATTTTCTACAAAAGATGTCATTGAAAATCAAATCCACTAATCACCAACACCAAGAAACATCCAGCTCCCAACACAAACACAAACTGTACACAAGGACCAAACAAACTACATGCAGGTAGTGTTTTTCAAGCAAATGCAAAACAAGAAGTCAGCTCAGAAAGACCGGAACATTGTAATGGGTGCTGACTAGGGATGGGTACTGGTATCATGGCACTGGTTCTGACATAAACAGTAGTAACCGAAAAGCAGCGCACATTTCGGTGCTTTATTTCGTGCTTTTTTTTCCTGAGCTGTGATACACTTTGGATTCTAGCCAATCATTTTACGTTTCCGAGGATAGTAGGCGGGGCCAGGTACGTACGTTCTTTTAGAGCAGAGCTACAGATTAAAAATGCCCAAGGCGAAGCGGTCAAAGTCTGGCTGTACTTCACAGCAAAAGATGCAAACTCAGCAGCAACAAGTGCTTTAAGCTGATACTGTGATACTGTCAAAGGAGGTAACACCTCGAATCCGATGAAACACCTGGCGACGCATAGCGTTTTTTTAAAAGCCGAGAAATGCGCCGTATTTGATAGCTTGCTGCGAGACCTCACACCGAGCACATCTACTGCGGGTGTGGTGCCTGTTATCGGACCCGGAGTTAGCAACATCCCCCAAAAACCCGAAGAGGAGAGTCCTGGCCCCTAGCCCTGCCAGTGTAGCAGAAATGATGAGGATGATGATGCAGCAGCAGCCGTTCTTCTCTGCGTGAGTAGCTTAATGTTGTTCGTGTGTAATTTACGTTGAGTAGGCTAACCACGTTATTACATTAATGCATGTAAGGTGAACTAGCAAACATCATCATAGCTACATGCGGCTGTCTTCTTGTTTGATGGCAGATACTCCCTTCACCCTGGCCAAAAAGGCTAAAATGACCAAAGAAAAAGAGGGAAACAGCTAAACATGAGAGGTTTTTGGACAAAGTTTGTGTTTTTTCCATTGTTTAAGCACTGCTTCCAGCCAAGAGTGATACCATATATGCCCCATAGCTGCAGAAAAGGCTAACATTGTTATCTTTTTACAAAAAAACAGCTGAACATGAGAGGTTTTTGGACCAATTTTGTGTTCTCCATTCTTTAAGCACCGGTTCGAGCACCGTTTAAGCACCGGCACCGTTTCAAAAGTACCGGTTTGGTACTGGTATCAGATAAAACCTAAACGATACCCATCCCTAGTGCTGACCCAGCTCTTTTTTTCCTTGTAAGGTTGATCACCATCTCAGTGGTCTTATGTGCGCATGAACTAGTTATTCAGCATCACTCTGAGACAGGATGTTTTTAATTTTAGAGATTTTGTGCAAATCAGTGGCAGCACTTCTTGCATTGTCAAATCTAATAATATACATGAATTAAAATGTGCCAAAATAAAGCAGTTGCTCTCCTTTCATGTTGGACAGCACTGTCCTAAAGCTCCTCCTCAGTCCTTTGCATTACTGGCCCCTTGTGGCCTCAGTCAGACATTGCAAGCTGCGCTTATTTTAATCTGACTGGAGACTGCAGCTCTCCCTGCCATGCAGGCGTGTCCGTCTCCCTGCCTGTGCCCTAAACACACTGTTCCCCTATTTTACCGGTGTTACTTTTGATAGCCTAAGCACAATTTTCCAGTAATACCGAGGTGTTCGTAGTGTTGCTTATTTTCCTAAAGCAGAGGTATGAAAAACTTGTCAGTGGCAGCTAAGATTAAATCGTTTTTGGTGTTGACCGATGTGCATTTGATGTCCAATATGACTACAGGATCACTGAGTAGGTAGTAGTGGAAAGAGATTTCTTCACAAAACTTTGACTTTTGTAGTTTCAAATTTTTTTGATAGCTTTATGGTTAGTTTCACCTGTTAAAATATAAAAAGTTAAAATTAAGTTTTAAATGCAAAGCAGATTAACTTTACAGTCAGTTTGGTAAAAGAACTGGTTTTTATATAGCGCGTTCTACTTCACCTGAGCGCTATATAAGTGGTTTCTATCTAACACTCATATGCATTCCTACTCCAATGGATGCATGGGAGAGCAACTTGGGGTTAGCATCTTGCCCATGCAGACTGGGATCGAACCACAAAGCACTGAGCTGATACTCCTGACACGTATGGGATCACTACAGGTTTCTGCTTGGGCAGCAGTTGTCCTTCTCTCCTGGATCGGCTGGAGCTTTCTTTAGGAGCCTTTCCAGCTTTGACAAAAGTCCAGCTGGGATAACCACATTTACTCAGGGCCTTCTTGATGTTTGATTTGATTTTGATTTGATTTGATTTTATTGATTAGCATTCAAATTCAAATCTCAGTGAAAACAGTGAAAAAACAAACAAACAAACAGTGAAAACAACAAAAATCTACCATAAAGCAAGAAAGCACGAGACAAGGCTAATCAAAAGGTATTGGCTGAAGCATTTGCTTATTACGCCAACCCTTTTCACAAAATATCTTTTTGTATGCAGCTCCTGTACACAGGGCTTGAAGA